TGACACGCGAACATATCAGATGATGCTTCGAGAGCATGATTGAGTGTTTGTTTTCGAGGAGAAATATTTTAAGTACAATCTAAGATTTTTAGATAAAAAAAAGACCGCAATAGCAAGTCGTTGGACTGAAGTATTACTCTAGCCTGTTGCCCAATAATTATAAAATTAATTCCGCGCGTAAGGCCTCATCAAACGGATTGCTGCGCTGTACTCTTGTTCATAATCATAAATACGTATGTAAATTTATGCAAAATGCACGAGAGTTCGTCGTACTTGAGAAATTCGGAATGAATTTGTTTTTTTTTTCTTTTCATGCGATGTAAAAATAAACAACTTTTTCTTGCGTTCACGCGCTCTTTTATACCTACAACTATTGATAGAACTGCCAAATGACATTGTCGTGTCACAGTGTAACTGAATATGAATTTTGGTTAAAAGAAAGGTCTTTTCTGATTCTATGGACAATAACACGACACTGGATTGAATTGTCCTTGCGACTCACTTGGAATTTCAACATCGATTCTTGCTATGATATGTATTATCGTTGATCCTTGCAGGCATATAATACTTTTTTCCTTAGGATACAATTAATTTCTTGAGTCTTATTATACAGTTAACTTCGTTTTAGATTGTTTGGCTACATGGTTTAAATAATCTTAGTTTTATTTCAAGTATCAATCTGTTATTTATCAGTTGATTTAAATTTAATTTATTTATTTAAGCACGATTGTATCAACACGAATAAAAAAACGTACGAAAATTACGAAAATATTTGCAAAACAAGTATATCGTTGATAATGTATTTTTGAAATGTAGGTATAAATTATAATGTAAATTAACAAATTATCATGTAAATAAATATATTACACATACAACTCTGTATATACCAAAAAGTCAGATCAGGCCTGAGCAACACTAAGCGATATTAAAACGCACTTTTGAATAAATAAAAAAGATAAAAGATTTCGCACAAAAGATCTGTTGAGTTAACATTCCATGATAATAAAACGTTTTTGCATTACACGCTCACCTCTGTTAAAGAATTTTTTTACTGGATTTATGATTTAATAAGAAATTTAAAAAATATTACAAAAACTTATAACCATAGATCTTCAAGATGTGGGTTTGATTAATATAATTTTATCCGTCCAGACAACTACCTGTCAGTAGCGTACATACATTTGGATAACGTACAAAATAAACTATTAGAGTTCTGTCAAATATTGTCACATGTAGGTCTAAAGTATGTGATAAAAACTTTTTTGCAAATTTCCAAGGCTTTTGATGTTTTGACAAAAGTCATTAAAATTTCAAATCTAATCCTAAGAAAAATCGTATTATATATTATACGAGTCAGTTGCAAAACGCTTTGAAACCTTGACTGCATTGACCAACGAATAAATCAAAATTTTGCAATTACAAGCCACTGCATGAAAAAGTTCTTTTACTTTTTTATCTTCGAATCAATCAATAAAAAACATGACGAATCAAAGCTTTGAGCGGAGGATGATTTTAGTACATTAAAACATAGACACGTGTACACATATGCGTAATCTAAAATCGAAGGTTGCAGCGCGACATGAATAAAAAAAAAAAAAAAAAAAAAAAAAAAAAAAAAAAGGAAAAANAAAAAAAAAAAAAAAAAAAATAGTAATAAATAAACAAAATAAACAAAAAAATACGAGGCGCCATTCAAGATGGACTGCCGAACGCAATAACAAGAATAGGTTGAGTCAATCATCCGCGATAATGTAATATGGTCTTTTTGCAGGGAATATGTCATCGGCTACATTTATGTAATACTTGCGACGAAGATTTATGGTTTGTTAAAAAATGCATTGTTCATGATTGCAACATAAAGTTTACGTCCCTCAAAGCTATGATTTACATTTTTATTATAATTAAACTGAGTCATACGGATTAACCAGACTTAGATGAAATGTATACTTTTTCAAATACTTTGCATTGTGATTTTTTTCTAAAAATGTAGTACGCTGCTTGTATTAGAAAGTTTTTTATTTATTTATTACTTTTCCAGCAAAAAAAACCATTTTATTTTTATAGCCTGAAATGAAAGAGAAAAAAAAATGTGTCAATAAAAATAAAGTATGAAAATATTTAAAAACTGTTTAATGAAGAATACAGGACGCAGTTCAATGTTGGAAAAATTTTTGTCAAGTACTGTGTTTATAGTATAGGAACGAAAAAAATATTTTTCAACCAAAATTAATGATTACAACTAGTAGAAACATTTTTGTTTCTAAAACTTAAAAAAATATCTGCAAAACAATTGTGCCATGTGTAAAAATGTACATTTTCTGTTTAATTGTTTCGATTAATTATCATTAACACGGAAGCTTTTATAGTACTTATCTGAATTTTCTCATTTATTTTCTTTCCTTACCATCTTTTTCAAGCCGTTTCAGCTTCTCATTTTCCTTCATCTCTTACCCGACCGATCGTATACATTATATTGTATACCTAATATGTAAAAACCTTTCCTTCGACGAGAAATCAATATACAGATGCGAGGCAAGCATTTTCGCTCCCGCTCCAGTGCGGCTTCGACCTTCGTTAATTATCTCTCTGGCATCTTTGTGACGTGATTTACACGTTTGGCCTATACATTTGTTTTTTGTTTTTTTTTTTGTTTTTCGTTTTGTTCTTTTCAATTTGACATTTGATGGAATTTTTTTTTTCTTGCGTACTTGTACAACATAACCATTACCCCATCACTGCGTACTTCGTGAGTGCAATGAAGCGCAGTTACGGCGCGGTAATGACGCGTGTCCTCAATTCCTGTTTGTGGATTTTTCTCCCAAAAGCTTTGAGAAGTGCGTGAAACGTTTCCTTCGCGGATTCAACACTAATCGTTAAAAAAATATTACTCTTACAATCGGTACAGGATTGACTAAAGTATAGTCGGCGATGCATCAATTTGTGTAGGAATCATAACACACTTTGATGCACAAAATGCAGTGCCTGACGATAAAAATGAAACAAAGAAGACAAAGGAGACAAAACAGCAATTCTGCCTATTGTCAACTGTTGTTTTCGGCTGACGGGCACGTATGCGGTGCGATTAACCGATCGGCAAGCGTAAATAAAAAAAAAAAAAAAAAAAACCAAAATAAAACGAACATCGATCGGTCGGATATGGATCGTAAGATCAAATTAACACACAGTAGTCGGGCTTAGTCAACGCCGTGGGAAAGCTCGGCGTATACGCCATATACATCGCATTACCGAAAACAATGGGCCGATGCACAACTTTCTTTTTTCTGTTGCAATCAGAAAATATCAAAGTTCAGCGTGTACGAATCATGATAATCGACGCGTTGGATTATAATGCGTCCGACACAAAGCTTCGTGTAAAAGCCATCATCACGAGGCGGAGGTTATCCTTTGGGATCCTGGCAAGAGAAAAAGAAAAAAAAATATTTTTGTCGCGATGGAAAAGATTATTTCGCAGAAAGCTAAAATTGGTAAATACAAGGTTCGATGATTTTTCCAGCTATTTGTGCGTGCGAGTACATAGAGCAGTGTGTCGGGAGAAAACCGGTTTCAGTAACTGTGCAACGAGGGAGAAAAAATGAATAGGCGATCGGTTTGGCTCTTGAAATGTGAAAAAAAAAAAAAAAAAAAAAAAATATCAAGGAGTCCAAATTGCGCTCTGTACATTAAACGCTTGTCAAACGATCGAGTTCGCTTTCTAGCACGCTATATTTTTAAAGACAAGTCACTTGCACTTTATTTGATTGGGCGATGACAAAGTTGATGTTTCACGATTCCTCGTAAAAAGAGACCTCGTCAATCGTATGCAACAAACATTTTGACAAATTCTTCTATTTCGATGAGTTATCGATGTCCCCATTGGTTCGACGAAAAATCGGCAACTACTCCTCGCCTCGGCGAGATTTGAGGATCGGTGCCGATTTTCCACGCTCATTAGAGATTCGCGGAGCCGCGTGACGCAATAACTCCTAACGCCCGTGTGATATATCTCGAAACCCGCGCGACGCAACACCTCGACAGACACGAACCATCAATTCCGCCGGCGATTCGGTCTTTTGAAATCATCATCATCATCATCATCATCATCCTCTCTCGGCTTGCAATCACTCGCACCTGTAGGTACGCGGGCGCAATATCACAATGACTCTGCCGCGCAAGCATATATGTAAATCGGAGCGTCAAAACAGCGCATTGTCCGATTATTGTTATTGTTGTTGCATCGCCCAGTGCGTGGTGCTCCCGTGGGACTATAATCTACTTTCGTGTCTTTATTATACTTTTAGTTTTTTTTTTTTTTTTTTTTTTTTCAACATTTATCTCGTTATCTCGCGCTCCAATGGTTACGAAAATCCCTATGTTCAATGGCACNGGAAGGCTATTTTTCGAGCTTCTCGGAGCCGATGGACCGATGGTGCGGCAATACAAGTGATATCCTTGACTATATATATATATATTATATGCTTTCGATACGTACAAATTTATATCGCTTCGATTCACGTACATATTCATATACTTAAAAGACAAGCGATGTTTTTTTTTCTCTTCTTCACTTCCCCCTTGATCTCGCGCGTAAAAGACACGCATACGCGCGACCGCTTAAACGGCCCAGGCCGGCCGACTAGTCGCTCGCGAGAGCGTGTAGCGCGCGGGCCTTATTATTCGAATGGCCGTCGGTCGCAGGCAACGATCGGCGCGTGTGACAAATCATCGATTGGAATGATCGGTAAGACGAGAGCGGCTGGGTCGGGAGATAACATCAAATCGCAGGAACGGAGAGGTGTAGTTTGTTGTTTTCTGTGTCCAGGTAATGGTATGTAGTGTTTTTTTATGACGGACGAACGCGTCAGCGACGACGACCGGTGTTAGCAATAATTGCGGTGGGAAAAACAAGGGTGTTTCGCGCGAGACAAGCGGAAAGGAGCCAAAGAAAAAGAAGGAGGAGATTGTGAAAAAAAAAAAAAAAAAAAAAAAAAAAAAAAAAAAAAACGTAGAGCCGACGATCGGCTATATTAGACGCGGCGCGTGCGGATTTTCGGCCGGTTTCTCGGTCGGAACAACGCTCGGATGTTTGATACTGCGGTGAGTCGATTTTTTCTGCGGGTACAAAGCGTACAGATCTGAGGAAGACAAGTTTTATCCCTCAAGATGCGCCTTTTTGGGCCGGTGGACGGATTTTTGGTGATGGTGGTGGTGGTGTTGATGGTAGAGACAGCAGCATTCACGTCGAGGTTTCACGACAGTGGGGTATTGGCGAGGGAGGTGCTGACGCGGAGCCAGCGAGCGCAGAAAGGACACGCACAGCAGAACAAGTTGGAAACGTTTGTGAGTATTTTATACTTTTTTTTTTTTTTTTTTTTTAAAGACGGGCTGTTGATATGTTTTTTAGAACTGGCTTCATTTCGATAATATATGTAAACATCGTGAGGAGCGAGAAAAGAGAAATTTTAAGTTGTCGAAATAAATACTGTGCTTTTGGCGTAAGTGAACGATGAGCTTTTTTCGGTGGGATCGAGGATTTCATCGATGTTCAACTAATTTTTAATGAATGCTTATTTAAAATTCGCTACTAGCGTAGGTACGAAGAATTTCGGTAATAAATACTTTTGATGATTCAAGTAGGAAAAATCGATGAGAAACATGATTGAGTCATAATCTTTAAAGAAAACCTGTCACTTGAAATGTCAACACCGATTATCGCTAGCGAAATTTATCGCGTTAACGATTGACTAATTTTTTTTTTTTTCCCCGAGTCGCTTTGAGTTACCCGACAGATTTATCCAAGTTGATTTTCCACAGTATTAAGGGAAAGTGTTCGTATGTAACACATTTCGTGACGCAAAAAAAAAAGCGAGGGACGATTTTTGTTTTTTTACGGTTTTTTCGCTCGTTTGAAAAAAAAAATCGGCAAACCTCCGATAAAGTTAGGACAGTCATGATTTATATGTCACACGTGTATCTATACGTCTGGACATTTACATAGCATATTCTGGAGAAAACGGTAAATTCGTCTCCCAAGTTAATCCGAAATTTGAAAAAACCCATAGCTCTCGCCGATCGCGGACCGGGTAAGTCACACGCGCACATAGTGACACCTTCAAACGGCCATCAGCAGCTGTCAGAACGCGATATTTATGATTAATAATTCAAATATTCCCGATTGCCTAACACAACCGATTGAAAATCGTAACGATCCCAAATTAAAACGAAATTTTCATAAAAGTAACGTTTAAGATCGATCGTCGATCCCGTAGGGTCCGTATGAATAATTCAAAGATCGTGGAAAAACGAGCGGTGTCAAACTTCACGCCCAGCGTCTTTTCCGGCCCGTGGGTGGTTGAAAAATCCACGTGGTGCCTATTTCCGGTCTGAAATGAAAAAAAAACCTTACCGATCACCGGTCCACTTAAGTATATAGGTATACCAAGTTCTGATTTTTTTTTTGGCCGATTTAACGATCAGCGTGACGCTCGTGCCGCGGTATTCGGGTCGATGAATCTCTTCTTTGGTCCTCTACGAGTGGATATGTAGTCGTCGGAAGTGGATCGGTAACTGCCGATGACGCGGTGAAAAATCGAAAGTGCACAACTGACGCGGAGCCGATCTCTCGGATGATTATATACATATATATTATACACACTGACACAGACCGGGTGACTTACGTTTTTGCGATATCGCACGTTGCACTTGCTCTCCTTTGGTTTCATTCATCATCGCATTGATGATCTTACAACGGTGTGTGCAGCTGGTAAAACGTCGGAACTTGGAATTTTAGTAATTCGTTTCAAATGGATTTCATTGAATTTGGGTATACACACAATGCGTGGTATAATGGATCAATAAAGATAAGAGACTGTCTCTTTGGTTACGGAAGCAAAAAAGTGGCATTTTTCAAGTTACTTCCGGTTTCTTCACATTTCATTGGCGAATGAAAGTGAAAAACTATGGGTAAAATCAACAAAGATGCTAACCGTATCTTTTACGCATTGCTACGATAATTCGGTGTCTTTTCCTACCCGAAATGAAATTATATAGATTGGCAGAACGAAAGTCAACTTCTGGACTCTGCAAACTTTGAAGTCCTTTAAATACAAGGAGAAAATTACTAAGTAATAAACAGAGATACGATTTTGGTGCAGTATAAAAAAAAGTACTTTATACAAATCAGCGTCAATTTTACTTTGTTATTTTCTTCAAAATATATATTTGAATGTTAATGTACATTAGATCTAGTTTTTTTTACAAAAAAAATGTGATGCAATAATTGTTGATATATTCATCAAAAATTTTACTATAAACTAACATGTCATGTAATTCAAACTTTTACCTCAAACAAAAGATGTATCGTATTTTTACATGTGCATTAAAATATAAATGCTTTTCATTTTCATATTAAATTTGCGGTTCTCAGCAAACTCTCTGGTAGACTAATTATATAAATGTTTTATTAGGTAATACGTGTAAAAAAAATAAAATAAAAAAAGCTCGTGATACCAAACAATTAGTGTAAATCCGAATAAATTGACAAAAATATACATCCCCACATGATTTCACTTGTAATAACAAAAAGAAAAAAAAAAAAAAGAGAGATCTCTAATAGTAAAAATCTAAAGCGAAAAATCCCGACTCAACAGGTAGACCTCGCGACATCGGCGGGCTATTACGCGGAGGAGTATGACGTCACGACGGACGACGGCTACATCTTGACGATCCATCGAATGCCCGGAGGTCCAAAATCCCCGGTGACCCCGAAAAAGCCGGTGGTGCTCTGTATTCACGGACTCCTCGCTGCTTCTGACGTCTGGGTGTTACGAGGACCCGATAAGGATCTCGGTAGGTTACATTAATTTTTTTATTTTCCGTTTCATCACGATCTTTTGTTGATGACGAAAATACCCTTGTCAATGAGGCCCATTTCGTTTGAAACGACGGATGATATTTTTTTTTTTTTTTTTTTTTTTTTTTTTTCTTTTTCGCAGCCTTCATGATGGTGGACGCTGGCTATGACGTTTGGCTGATGAACACGCGCGGCAATTATTACGCGAGGCGGCACAAAAAATTGGTGCCCAAGGAAGAAAAATTCTGGCGCTTCAGGTATGGTAATGCGAGCCGATGACCGATCGGATTTGTTAATCTTACCGCGCGAGGATTGAAGAATTAGCCGTGCCTTATTGTCATTATTACGCGCGTAGTCGCGACCGATCGGGTAAAAACATCAATTGAAACGTGATTCTATCACATTTGTAGATCTTGCGTAACTTTTTTTTTTTTTTTTTTTTTTTTTGCAAACTGGTTCCATTCAAATGACACGCTCATAAACTTTGGCGTTGATCGATACGCGTATCGAAACGTACAGGAATCACATCTACTGTGAATGCAAATCAACGTGATTATATTTTGTGTATCAACGTTCGTGTCAACAAAAAACAGACACATGTGGGCATGTTTTTTTTTATAAACAAAAATTTTCCAATGAAATCACTTTTAATTCAAACTTGGGCTAGAAGTTTCTCAATCGTTGGCAGCCTTGACGTGTACGATGCCATACGGTGCAGTGGAAATAAATTATATTATAAATGAAACGTACACGGAGATGTAAAAAAATATAAAGCTCTAAAAGTAAATAGTAAACGCAAGCTTCATTTATTCATTCATTAAAATTGAGGGACCATAACATTGGCAAAAAAGACAGGCAAACGTGTAAAACACTTTTAACCGAAGAATGGAGGAAAGAGTATATTTTTCCAATGACCCCATGATGACAAAATGAAATGTCTATGTACAGTTGGCACGAGTCGGGCGTGTACGACCTCAGATCGACGATCGACTACGTCATCAGCTCAACCGGAGCGGAAAAGGTGTCGCTGATCGGCCACTCCATGGGCACGACCATCAGTCTGGTGCTCCTGTCCGAGAAGCCGGAGTACAACGCCAAGGTCAACGTGATGCTGTCGTTCGCTCCCATCGCCATTTTCACCCACTTCGTGCCCGGGCCCATTGGCACGATAGCCGTGCGCTACGGCAGACAACTCCAGGTGGGATACACCTCTCTACCTTCCTGACATTTTTTGCGCTTAACAATATATATATATATATGTGGCTGAAAATACACCCTATTGTTTGCGAAGAAAACTTTCAAGACCCTGGGCGTCCACGAGATCTTCCCCCGGAACCCCAGTATGCTCGCGGCGTACGTCACCTTCTGCCAAATGCCGCGCATCGAGCTTTTGTGCCAAACGCTGATGCTGAATCTCGCCGGGTTGTTGAAGAACAATTACTTCGACGCCATCGACATTGTGAGTATATACCGTATAGGTTTTCGGACAATGAGAGTATTGGGTGGGGAAGTAACGAGACACGTGTGGTCGTTTTGTTTGACGCAGAATATGATGCCCAAGGTGTTGCAACACTACCCGCAAGGCTCGTCGCTCGAGACGCTCCTGCATTACAGGCAAATTATGCTCAGTGGTAAATGGAGTTTGTTTCATTCGTTTGTTCTGCTAAGCTCGACGAGTTTGATCGATTTTTGTGCGATTTCTGTAGGTAAATTCCGGCAGTACGACTTTGGTAGGGATGGAAATTACATCCGATACAAGAACGCGACACCGCCCGAGTACCATCTCGAGAGGATAACCATTCCCATAATCCTTTATTACGGCATGAACGACGCGTACACGACGGAAGGGGTGAGTATTTTTTTTCCCCCTTACCCATATAAGTACATTCTTGACTTTGTGCACGAGTGTACTTGCAGCACATTGGTGTACGAACTCGGGAGGACTCGGGCTTGAATTTTTTGCACATAGTGTATTTATCAATGACAAGTTTCACCATTACCAGGTTTGATCCATCCGTACACTCGAAATCATGTTTCACCCGTTCATATTTTTCGCAGGACGTGCTGGCACTTTTGGATAAACTGCCAAACGCCGAGGGCCGAGCGATAACCCACGAGCGCTTCAGCCACCTTGACTTCCTGTTCTCGAACTTCACCCAAGTGGGTCTCTACGTCGACGTCATACGCACACTCGATTGGTACAACGGTGATCAGAAGGGAAGCGACTCGGTGACGAGCCAGGACATCGAGTACCTTAAGAACGCGCCGACCACTGTCGTTGTCTAAAATCTGTCATTTTCCTCTGCGATTTCAAATGTAAAAAGGAAAGAAGAAAAAAAAATGATACGGTTGTGAAATTTTTGTTCAACGTAACACTTGGTGAGATTGCGTTTAGTATTTATCAAGTGTAGAAGCGGGTAATAAGCATGCGGATTTATTTATTTTATCGTGGTAATAATATTGCACTTTTGTCTTTTCATTCAAAAGACGTGTGATAAGGATCATTAACTATTTAACAGCAAATAGCTTGATTCTACCAAAAATGTTTTTAAAAAAAACTCATAATATATGTGCTCTAATAATGTTTGTCGTGCTTGAGTTACGTTGGCTTGTTTTAGTTTTGTTTTGTTGTATCAGTTGTATACTTGACGCCTTAGGGGTGTACACTAGTTTTTTTTTTAAGATTCAGAAACAGCAACTTGTATTTACGGAAATAATCACGTTTTTTAAAATTACGTATTGAGTTCTTCATTTCGTTCAACCCAATAAATTGTAGAGTTGAACAAAAAAAAAGTTTTCCGTTACATAAAAACGTTGATTGGTTTTTAAAGAATCTCAATTTTGGTTTTAAAACAATTTGATTGTTTAATACACAAGTTGTTTCAGTTATAATAACGTATACAGACAAAAAAAACATTTGGCCCTTTCAGCACCCGAGAGCTCTGCTTTCAACAGTTATTTCATAGTAACATAAATTAGCTACTAAACGTATATGTACATATAATGTAGAGCAGTTTAAAAATTTTTGTTGCAAATTTTTCGAGATATATGTAATTATTGCGATAAAAGACCGATAACTTAGAAATGTAAGAACATTGAAATTGAGAACCACGAATAGTATCATTTTATTGCGAAATTGATTTAAAAATATGAATTATTCTATTGGAACGCAGAATAAGAATTAACATTCATCATGAAAAATCGGATGTCTCAAAAATGTGAAACCTCAGTGACAATACTAGACTATAGTCATGGTACGCAGTACGTGTAAATAAAATACACACACTAAGTTCAAGTACTTTTTCTTTCACTTGGTCTACTATGTTAAAATGCTTGTTAAAAATACAGGAAAATATAAATTTGATACTTGATAATTTGCTTTACAATCACTTGTAAATTTGCTTTTACAGAGTCATTGCTTTATTTTATATTTACTTGAAAATCAGCTTTTGTACATATTATAGCATTACGTAACGTGTGAGTAGTTTAATGGTATTTTGTAAAGTTTTGCTACGTTAGAACCATTTTCTTACTACTTATGAAGCATTTAGTATGGCATGAAATAAAAAAAGTGCCTTATTGTCATTATTACGCGCGTAGTCGCGACCGATCGGGTAAAAACATCAATTGAAACGTGATTCTATCACATTTGTAGATCTTGCGTAACTTTTTTTTTTTTTTTTTTTTTTTTCTTGCCACTGGGCGGTAGCTTGTGGGCGCGTGTATTAAAGAAGTTTAATCTATTAATCGCTCGCGTCTGGGACGGCGATGGACCAAGCTATGTGTTTCACAATGATTACAGTGTTTTATGGCACGTGGTGTGTNAAAATTGCTTATGGGAGATTTCTTTGAAAAAATTTCAACTTTGTAACCGATTACTGACGCTTGTAACCTCATTTTTTCTGAGTATACGCAAATAAAGCGAAATTTATTATTACGAGAATCGGTAGTACTATCGATAAAATACCTTCTTAGGAATAGCCGAATTTGCATTTTGTGAAAGTATGAAAAAGGATTGAAAAAAAAAGGTGTAAAATACATCCTGCGATAGGAAGCATTATAATAGTAGATTAGAGATCGATGAATAATACATACGTCGTTTTAGGCTTTGTGCATTCACAGCTTTCGAAGCAAACAAGAAATAATATTGTATCGGTATTGTTGCTACATAAGAGTTGTTTAACAATACATTGTTTGAAAGTATTTTTTCATCCTACGAGTTCCCTATGTTTTTTGAGTGAATAGAAAGCTTGATTTCTCAGGATAAGCCTGTCTGAATTAATCGACCAGTGTGTGATATTTGCTTCCAAAAGTCATAAAATTTAATTGTACTAAAATATCACATTTCAATTATTTTTAACTCGAAGTACGCGAGTTATTTTGATAAGATAAACATACGTATGCCTAATTGGGGCTATAATCAGAACTAATTTTTACAGAGGGGCTTATTAATTTGTACAATCAGAAATATAAATTCACCTATACAAAAAAGCTACATGATAAGTCTCAACATAATTGTATAATGAATTTTCTGTGTTGATACAAGTTTCGCACGAAATTTTGTTGATAAATAAGAAATAATCAATCCGACATTTATCATCTAAGAACTGAAAAGAAGATTATTGTTTTTCATGCAACCACTACGATCAATTCGTTGACTGGAAATAATTTACTCATTTAAAAAAATGACAGAAATAGAAATAAAATATAAATTTATAATAGAGTCATAAATAAATTTTTTGGCTATTGTAAGAAAAACAAACAAAAATTCCAAGTCTTACCCGATTGAAATTGGTATTTCCATATTTTACAACATAAAACATGTTTCTGACACAAATCTTCTCTTCTTATTAAAAAGGAAAATTAACTTAGTATAGTTTGTTACAGAAACAGCTTGCCAGCTTCTATTGATTTTAAGTATTACTTTGTCAAAAAATATTGACATCGCTTTTTTTTTTTTAATTACAATATTTTCACTACTCCAAGAATACCGTTTGATTCATTCCTACACGTACCACAGATTTCTTATTTATTCCCAGTCTGACAATTAAATTTCGATTAACAATCTCTAAGAACTTTTTTGTGAGCAGTTTACTTGATTGTACTGTGTTGTTTGAGCTGCTTTTGTCTTAAAAAATTTGTTCTATCTTTTTTTTGTCTTGATAACAAATTTTTTTACTTACACGTTTCCGCTCGTAAATATTCTTGAAATAATTTGAAATACTGATAAGTTAAATTGTTCAACTTAGACAACGTAAGGGTTTTATTCTACGAGGTATGCAAAATAAATAAATAACCATGCAATATATATTAAATAACAAATAAATATGCCATATCTACTTAAGTATAAGTAGTACTTGTATTTGTGAGGTTTAGGTCATGGATTTGAAGAAATTCATTAAAAAAAAATTTTTTAATCTCTGATTTAGATCTCCAAATGAGATTTTTACATCCTCACTAGATTAACAACTTTCACTCATGATTTTATGCCTTACCATCTATTAAAAAAAAAATCTTTTTATTTATTTATTCAACATCTATAAACTAAGTGTACTTTAAGATAAACAATATGTAATAGAACAGAGAAATTTCATTAACAATCATAATTTAATCGATTCGACGTTATCAATAGCAATAAGTTCAGTACAAAGTTTGAATAAACTAAAAATAAGTAGTATTTTGCGGAATATCACAATATGATGAGGCATGGTAATACGATTGTGTATATGGTTGTGATAACAGACAGATGAAAGTAATGTCATTGAAAGGTGTGCTGGATAAGAAAAGTTCAGTTGAAGAGAAAAATGGCTCGTTGATTAATGTTTAATTGCTGAAGATTATTGGTTTTCGGTAAGTTTTTGATACTATAATTGAACAGATTTTGCAGGCGAGATAGTTCAGGGCATCGGACAAGATCATGCGTAAGTTTAAAACCTGGTACGGCGCAATCATGGTGTTGGCGTAAAGATTATACGGGACATAGTGATGATCTAGATGATAAAGATGAGCCGTGTGAGCCACAGGTATGAGGGTTTTTATATGAAGAGCTCGACGGAGTGCGGTATCAAGCAGAGAAAAGTTAGTGCGTGGAGACCAGATAACGTAAGTATATGAGTGAGACGATATGGATATAAAAAAGATAATATGGATTCGGGTGGACCTTATATTTTTTAAGATGTAGAAAAAACTGTGCCTACGTGGGTATTGGAGCTCCATGGACAGTCAAGTACAACTCCTAGGCCAGACACTGACTCAACTCTTTTTATGGAAGCTAATTAATAAAATTTAGATTCTTCTTATCCTGAATTTTCCTGAGATTTCCTTAAACGATTAAATATATGTTATAGAAAATCTATGGATAAATGATATTAAATCAAGTAAGACTAATTTCATGAGCGACTTTCAAATGATTATTCGAATTCACTAATGATTGTTGACAATTTGTAATTAATTTCGTCTTCAAAAAAATTTTTCTGTCATAAAAAATACGATTTGTTGTAATTAACTCAAGATTCTTCATAAATATACAATTTAAGGTCTAAGTATCTGATTTGAGTGCTGGTACATGTTTTTAAAAGATACCTTATGCATTAGTTTGATAAAACTATTGTACATATTATGTACACGTATTCTTGTAGATTTTAATATTGCCGAAAGTCGTACAATATTTCAACTTTATCTTTATTGGCGGGCTCTTATTTAGCTAATAGTCGTTTACAGGCATTGCCTATCTTATACAGTAGCACTGATACGAACGTCGTCAAAAATGTTAAGGTAGACCAAAAATCGAACGGCTAAGAAGTAGATGGAAGTAGTTAAAAAAAATTTTCCATTATCACCTCCATTCCTCGGGGCTTTCTCACATTTACAATTTTTCGTCCGTATGTTTCACCTACACGTCTGCGCGTTACTTGTAAAAACATTATCTTTAACGAAAAAGTAAAAGGAGGGATGGATCGCCCGATCGTCTCATGCGTGCACATATATAAAAGCGAGTAAACGCGACGAGCATTTTGACGTCCTCCACATTTCTTGAGTTGTCTTTGTAATTTTTCATAGAGTGATACTTTGGTAAGTCTGTGCATTCACGAGGCTGGTCTTTAATATTTCGAACAATAGTTATTTTTGCCGGAGCATGAATCAACCACCAAACAATAGCGAACGACAATTGGCACCAATATCTTCGTCCGCCCGGGAAAATCAGTACAAAACCGCGTTCATCCACGAGCACCGTCACATCCGAATCCACACCGTACAGTCGACCACGTACACACCCACGTCATCGCACTCCCATATGCACACCAACACGCACGTACACACGCACACGCATGTTAATTACATTACAAGAAAGAATTGTTAGGCACCAGCAGTTGTTGAATGAACAAAGTAAGCATCTCACCTGGTGTTCATTGGGTCGAGTGGTGACTTATACCTAAACATTTAATTATACAACAGATAACGCAGTTGAACCTTGTCGCTGAAGTTGTGACGAAAGGTGGTGCCGGAAATCGCGCTGATCTTCAGAAACACGTGGCAAAATGTCTGGAACGAGCAGCAACAACGGTAGAACTTACACATCCACGTTCTCGATGTCGTCGTCGCGTACGTTTTCGTCCTCGTATTCAGAGAGCCATTTAATCGTACCTTGGAACACCGTCATTGTAGACCGGCCGTCGGGTAACTCTAACCAAACCCATTACTCATTTTCATCGTCTACCCTGAGCGCAGTGACAAATTCACGTCAATACGAAGACAGTTCCAACACGAAATTTTATCCAGAGGTGCAAAAAACGTACTACTCCACTGAACAAGCTCGTGGGGTGGAATACAATGCAAATACCATGTCCTCGAGGTCCAAACAATAACATCGACTCACGATTGCAAGACCTGATTGACACTCGATCGGTCACGGACGACGGTGTTCATTGTATGGGAGAATCAGCATACACCATCGAAGACAATAGCAACTACATCGATTTTATTTTTCATTTGCAATCAGAAATCAAAGCTTAATGCAGCTGGTGTTGAAAAAAATGCCATCCTGAATTATACAGTATACTTACACACGGTCAGTGATCTCATCGATCCGACAACCAAGACAAAGAAAAAGATAGTAAGAACGACACTGATACAGATCATTTACTGGACACCGGTGCGGACGTGATCCTTTGGAATTTCAGGCATATTGATTACAACTCCTGTATTTCTCAGTGAAATTTTTTCTTGTAACCCATTTTTAAATCATATTTCACGTTTGTATCTGTAACGTTGTATGGATAAAAAATATTACCTATAATTTTTATTACAATATCGTGGCAAAATAAAAAAAAATAAAAAAAAAACAAGGTTAACAGTTTGTGTTGTACAAAGATGTCATTAGAGTCATGCCGATATAAATTTAAATATTTTTATCTACAATTTTTCAATGCTTCGTAAATATAGTGTATCTTATGTGTGGCGATTCAAAATACTGTTTGTAGGGCGTTTCCAGATTCTTGCTCCATCGAAAGTAATTGTAAGACAATTGATGTTGTAATTAATAGTATGGTTAAATAAATATCTTTCAACTTT